ATACGTGTAGGTACACAGTTAACTATACCTGCAACGGTATATACATATATACTCGGTACACCGTGGTACCATGGTTCAGTTAACACAGGTATTATTATTATTATTGTCCTCGACTTCGGTGCAACCTTTATAATTTTATTATTGCCGCACCGTCGTCGTCTTCGTCGTTTCATGTATTATATTATTATTTTTCGTTATCTTCAGCTAAGCCGCCGCCGTTCATTCCTTTGGTGATTTTCCCCAAAACCAAAATAAAGCGACCGCCATTTTTTATCTCTACCTTTTTCGTCGAACTGGTTGCGCGCGTGCGCTCTGCTATATAGGTTTCGAGTACACATTATTTAATTTCGCGTACCACACGTCAAACATATTACATTATTGTAATGCGCAACACGAGCGCCCCACATGTATAATAATRAAATAAATTACAATATTATTAGCCGGTGATATTATAATATTATGTATAAGCATTAGAATAATCGTCGCGAACAGAGGGTTTTCCCGGTTCAGTCGACCCCCTCGGCCGCAAAACGAGTGTTTTTCCGTTACGGCGTCGGTGGTAGGTACCTACATAGGTGCACGCCCGCAGCAGGAAGACATATTACATATTACTATACGATTATTGTACCCTGCGATATGCAAATTTCGTGTGTTTATTGCGCGCGCGCGCCCTGCACCACAATGGTGAATTATTATTATTATAATTTGTATTTATTATTGTTATTAATTTTTTTTTCTTTTTTACCACACGCGCGCTCATTACAATAATATACATACCACGTATACGATGCAGAGTGTATAATATATATTATACTGCATAGACYGGGTGGTGTCGGCGACCCCTACGAACTTCCCTTCTGTATTCCAGTCAGCCAGCCATAGCAAGCTAGCGGACCCGTGCCGGACCTTTACGGGTGTCGTCATGCAAATATCGCGATCCCAGCACGAGCCAATCCCCAGCCTCTTAACCGTCGCCAACGCCCGACCCCTTTACTCGGATTTGACACTGCGCATGGGGAGGTTTGTCGTCCATCTCCGGCACATGTATTATATAATATATTATAAAATGTATTTCCGTCATACGCATTACACTGTGTCGCTTTTGTACTTATACTTATGCAGTATATAACTGTGCAAGTATAAGCGACTCTGAGATGGTGTATTGGTCAAAACAAAAAACCATTATACATAATATTAGACACAATCTAGGATCTACGTAATAAAAAAGAAGCGAAAAAACTCCTGCATCATGCAAAATAAAACGAAACACGTGTGTATTTTTTTAATATTGAGTATATTTCGTTTTCCTTTTCATTAATTTGTCTTGTTTGCAAAAAAAAATAATAATCATCATCATCATCATAATAATAATAAAATCATAATCATAATATAATGTACACATACAAAACGAAAAGGCATAATAAATAAAAATCGCKAAATAATAAAACGTATAAAACTATACAAAACGTAAAAAATAACTTGAAGTTATAGCGACATTATTTTTTTCTTTCATTATTTAGGTTTATTTTTATGTTTTTTTAAGTATAAAATTAATACATAATTATTTTTAAAACTATGATATATATAAAATGCAATCCTATCTAAAATTACAGTTTATCATAAAACATATGACGTGATTCGCAAGGGTAGACTCTATATATATAATATATATACACATGCATATCAATATATAATAAATAATGTATATGTATATTCGCTATAAAATTGTATTCAATATGTATTTATATATATATATATATATTAAGTATACATCACACTTATATTGTATACGTATATATAATAGGCGTACACAAGTAG